CTCCACTCACTACATGTACACACAGCACACGCGCAGTGCACACAGTTTACGCAGTGCACATAACACGCGCAGTGCACACATAACACACACACTTAGGTGAGACACTTAGGAAAAAGACCTCCAAAAAGGTGATATTTTCAGAAATACTTCCTGCACCACGAGCCACAGCAGAGTGGCAGCGAGAACTTAGAGAGCTGTACAAGTGGCTGCAAAGCTGGTGTAGAAAGGAGGGGTTTGGCATTTGGAGAACTGGGCTGACTTCTCAGTCGGCTACCGGCTCTACAGCAGGGACAGACTGCACATAAATGGGGACGGTGCAGCTCTGCTGGGGGTAAAAATGGTAAAAAGGTTGGAGGAGCTTTTAAACTATAAAATGGGGGGGGCGGAAAGAACTGAGCCAGGTAATAACCTAAAAATATTGAGGAGTAAGGTGACCACAACAGAAACGAGGGATTCTAAAATACGAAAAACAAATACACAAAATATGGAAGCATGCAGTAGTAGATAGGTAACAGAAAAATAGTTTCACACAAGTGAAATGCATGTTCATCAATGCTAGAAGCCTGGCGAACAAACTGGAGGAGCTAGAACTCCTACTACTTGGAGAGGAATATAATCTAGTGGGAATAACAGAAACGTGGCTGGATGGATCACACGACTGGGCAACAAATATAAATGGATATTCTCTATATAGAAGGGATAGGGAAGGAAGAAGAATGGGAGGAGTATGCCTGTATGTCCAGAATGACCTGACAGTGAATGTAAGAGATGATAGCGCACAGGAAAACGGGGATAATGCTAAGTTACTATGGATAGAAATGGAAATGAAGCATAAGAAAGGGAAACTACTAGTGAGAATATGCTACAGGCCGTCAAACACGGGGGAGGAGACTAATATATTGTCACAGATACAAAGTGTGAAAGAAAGGCAATGTCATCATAATGGTGGGACTTTAATTATCCTGATATAGATTGGACAAATGAAACGGCAAACTCTAGAAGGGCCCATCACTTCTTGAACACGCTCCAGGATAATTTCATGGAACAATTGGTGGAAACCCAGATGAGGGAAAATGCCTTAGATTATTAATTACAAATAACAGAGAGCTGATTAAAGATGTAGAAGTTGGGGACAAGCTAGGGAACAGTGAACACAGAATGATAATGTTCATGGTAAACTCAGGGAAACACAAGCACGTAGGCAATTTTAGAAAAGCTAACTTTAATAAACTAAGAGGCCTACTATGACAAAAATTGGGATGAAATCTTCTTGAATAAGAACACAGAGGAGAAATTAGGAGGCTTCAAGGAAATCTTTAACAAAATTGGCCAGTGCATTCCATTTACCGCTAAATTCAGAAAAGCAAAAATTAAACCAGGGTGGTTAAAAAGCAAGATAAAACAACACACAAGAAAAAAGGATAAGGCCGTAAAAAAATTGGCATTTGAAAACTACAAGGCATTATGTGTTGCGCGTATTATGTGTGGCGTGTGTTTTGCGTGCGCGCATTATGCGTGGCGTGTTTTGCGTGCGCGCATTATGCGTGGCGTGTGTTTTGCGTGCGCGCATTATGCGTGGCGTGTGTTTTGCGTGCGCGCATTATGCGTGGCGTGTGTTTTGCGTGCGCGCATTATGCGTGGCGTGTGTTTTGCGTGCGCGCATTATGCGTGGCGTGTGTTTTGCGTGCGCACATTATGTGTGGCGTGTGTTTTGCGTGCCCACATTATGTGTTGCATGTGTTACGTGCCCGCATTATGTGTTGCATGTGTTACGTGCCCATATTATGTATTGCATGTGTTACGTGCACGTATTATGTGTTGCATTTGTTACATGCACGTATTGTGTTTGCATGTGTACAGTGTGCATATTATGTGTTTGCATGTGTAGTGTGCATATTATGTGGTTGCATGTGTAGTGTGCATATTATGCGTTTGCATGTGCACAGTGTGCATATTATGCGTTTGCATGTGCACAGTGTGCATAGTATGCGTTTGCATGTGCACAGTATGTGTTTGCATGTGCACAGTGTGCATAGTATGTGTTTGCATGTGCACAGTGTGCATAGTATGTGTTTGCATGTGCACAGTGTGCATATTATGTGTTTGCATGTGCACAGTGTGCATATTATGTGTTTGCATGTGCACAGTGTGCATATTATGTGTTTGCATGTGCACAGTGTGCATATTATGAGTTTGCATGTGCACAGTGTGTATAGTATGTGTATGCATGTGTACAGTGTGCATATTATGTGTTTGCATGTGTACAGTGTGCATAGTATGTGTTTGCATGTGCACAGTATGTGTTTGCATGTGTACAGTGTGCATATTATGTGTTTGCATGTGCATGTGCACAGTGTGCATATTATGTGTTTGCATGTGTACAGTGTGCATATTATGTGTTTGCATGTGCACAGTGTGCATATTATGTGTTTGCATGTGCACAGTGTGCATATTATGTGTTTGCATGTGCACAGTGTGCATATTATGAGTTTGCATGTGCACAGTGTGTATAGTATGTGTATGCATGTGTACAGTGTGCATATTATGTGTTTGCATGTGTACAGTGTGCATAGTATGTGTTTGCATGTGCACAGTATGTGTTTGCATGTGTACAGTGTGCATATTATGTGTTTGCATGTGCATGTGCACAGTGTGCATATTATGTGTTTGCATGTGTACAGTGTGCATATTATGTGTTTGCATGTGTACAGTGTGCATATTATGCGTTTGCATGCGTAGTGTGTTGCAG